TAGTAGAACTGGGATTTGAATCTAATTCCAAAGCATTATGCCACACTGTCTCTCCTTGGATTCTGTAATTGCTGATTGCTGCTTCTAGATAAAATCTGGAGGGCTTCTATTACCATGTGCTTTTCCTTCCGTGTTGCCTTAGCTTGAGCTATTTTTTCTTTCCTGATAGATTCTACCATCATCTCTTTGTCGATCCACACTCTTTAAGTCAGCCTAGTTTCAAAATAAATAAAGTCAACCTAGTTTCTACCTCTTTCACAGAATTGTTTCTTTAAATTCCGTCATGTACCTATGTCTTATCGGGGGTTGCAAACTCAAGGGTCTACAAAGACATGCTCACAAGAATGAAGCAAGTCATGTAAGTAAATGAAATAAACCAAAAGTCAGATAACAAAGGAAAATGAGGGCTAGGACAAACTGGCATCCTTAAGGTTAATACAGTGGGGTCTGCACCCTTCCCAGCTGTACCTCATTGTTGCCACATCTCCCCATTTTTAGGAATAGATGAACTCCCAGCTTCTAACCTCTGGTTTATGTTACATAATACATTACTTGATCATTTAGCGATCCTGTTGTATTCACTAATAGCTTAATCTGGGGAAAATATCAGATAGTAAATTTCTCCTGAGCCTTTTTACTTGAGTTGTTTTGAACTTTCTAACTTTAAGTAATATCACTAACCAAAGTAGGAAATGGGATTGTCAGGTGTGGCCGGACAAATAATAATTAATTCGGCATGTTTAAATTGAAAATGAAAGTTAGGAGTTCAGTTCTAAAGAGAGACTTGGAAAGTCATCAGCAAAAGGTGATGGCTGAGGCTACAGAAGTAAAATAATCCAGAAAAGTACATGCAGAGTGAGAAGATTAATGACAGAACCCTGGGGAACACCAGCTTCTAGAGAACCTTGAGGAAAAAGGAGAATGGACGGAGTGTGGGAAGGTAGGAAGGCTCAAGCCAGTAAAGCCAGTAAAGACCAAGGAACAAAGGGAATGATAAAAGTCCTGCTGCGACACTAATAAGCAGCAGGAGGAGACCAAGAGAGACCTGTAAGGATTTCATAGTGAGCAGGTCTCTTAAACCTTTTCTGAATAAGTTTCTTTTTTTTTTTAATTTTTTTTTTTAATGTTTATTTATTTTTGAGAGAGAGACAGAGCGTGAGAGGTGGAGGGGCAGAGAGAAGGAGTCACAGAATCCGAAGCAGGCTCCAGGCTCTGAGCTGTCAGCACCATGCCTGATGCAGGGCTCAAACTCACGGACTGTGAGATCATGACCTGAGCTGAAGTCGGACACTTAACCGACTGAGCCACCCAGGCGCCCCTGAATAAGTTTCAACAGCGAGATCTCGATTTCAGATTATATAACGGGTTGAAAAGCAGATAAAATTTAACTGCCAAATGGATTAGTTTCCACAGTATATTAAGAACTTAGAACTCAATAAGAAAAAGACAACCCAGAGGGAAAAAATGAACAAAAATCATTTCATAGAAATGTAAATGCATAACCTCATAACTAATCAAAGAACTGAAAATTAAAACAGAATGAGATATTATTTAGCACCCACAAGATTGGCAGAAATTAAGACTGGCAATATCAAGTGTTAGCACAAGTATGGATCAGTAGAAACATACTGTCAATGGAGTATGAATTGATACAGCTTTAAAAAACAATGTGGCATCGTCTTGTAAAGTTGAACACGAATATACCATATATATGTCATATTTATAGCATATGATAGATCTATGTATCCTAGAGAAATTCTTTGTGTACCAGCGGGGAGAAGTAACTCTACCGGAGGGGAGAAGTAACTGGAAAGTCTGTCAAATAAAATGAATAAGTAAATTATGATATAGTTATATAGTTACAAATTCTTCAATTTAAGGAATTACAGCTACATTTAACAACCTGAATAACTCTTGGAAACAAAATGGTGAGATACAGCCATCACAGAAGGCTATCTTTTTAAAATTTTAACAGACACCTATAAATTACTTGTGGTGTACCTGTTCGAACTTTACCAATGTTACCATTTGACTTAATCACATGTGCATAAAATAGGATTTTTTTAAAGCTCAGAAATAAGCAAAAGTAGATAATATATTGTGCAGAGCCACAGACATATGTCTTGGGGAAAAGGAATAATCTTAAGTTTTGGAATACTAGTTCCCTCTGGACGGGAGGCAAGGAGATGACGCAGGGAAGGAACAGTACTGGTGATGCTGTAGTTTGTAACTTGACTGGTCATTCACAATTTATTTATTAACACATTACATGTGTTAGAATATACTTCTTTAAAAGGTAAAGTCATGATTCTCATACAGATACAAAATGAATATATGTCAAGGTTTTATTTAAATCATTAAATTTGTGGGGCGCCTGGGTGGCGCAGTCGGTTAAGCGTCCGACTTCAGCCAGGTCACGATCTC